ATGTTGTGGAAGTCCGAGCTCGACAATCGACTGAAGTTCGACGTTAAAACCGTGAATGAAGCTCGTCCTCCACAGGAATTCAAAGACGTTCGCTTTCAGATCTTCCAGTGCGACTGCAAAGGTTAACCTAATCGTTGCCGTTCAGGTTGGTTTGCGGCGAACGCCGGCCCTTCAGATTGACGATGAAACCGCGTTCTCCGTCGAAGACGAGATTGTCGAAGAACTTGACCGATACGGTCCTCCTCGCAGTAGGTCATCCGAAGCGGAGAATGTCACCGCCGATCTCTTCAGGGTCTTTGCTTTCTTCATAAAGGGCGTGGAAAAAGAACCAAAGGTGAGAGGAAATATGTATGTCATTTCGAACTCTTCACTCTTTATCAAAGCACTCGTTGCTTTCAGGCCCTGCTCGGAGAGCTGCAGCGAATCGACGACTATCTTCAAACGACTGAATCCCGCTTCCTGAATGGTGAAGAACCTTCTCACATTGACTGCATTGTTCTACCTCGATTACACTCCATCAGAATCGCAGCTAAGGTCATTGGCCGATCGATATTTGTTTGACCTTCTCCATCATGCCTTTGCTTCAACTGCCATAATAGTTTAGAATGTTCAGGCATTAAAGGATTTTGATATACCCGAAGAGTTAAGCTCATTATGGACGTACATGAAAAACGGCTACCAGCTCAAATCTTTCACCACAAGCTGCGCTCCTGATCAGGTTTGTGACGATGTTTCCCTTTTTATAAGGACATGAAAATTTGTTGAAATGCACCACGCATTTGACTCCCACCAAACATCCCGGGGAGTTGAGAATATTCAACCTCTTAGCTAATGTTAAAGTGTAACAGCTGGTTTACGATCCAGGGTCACATGGGGTAACCGTGGCCTCTGAAGACGACAATTGAGTGGAAACGTGAAGCAATAGGAATTTTCAACCAAACGACCTCGCAGGGCACAAAAAATTAATACATTTATGCACGGCCAATATGCTGGGGTCGCAAGAAAAGAGAATCTTGGCTATTCCGTTCATAGAAAACTTCTACATAAGGTGATCCTTTCAATCAGTATCAGTTTGGAATACGATGACTTTTAGGAGATCATTCTTTACTGGTCGGATCGACCCGATACTCAAGGTCTACCGTCTGCGAAGAGAGCTCATCTAGCACGTCAACCACCAACCGTTTACGCATACTATACCTGCGGAAGGTGGCTGCATCATCTTGAAAATGAAGTCACCTAAGCTTACGGTAAATCAGTTTCCACCTATTTCCTTTTTTGTTATAATACGCTTCCGTGAAAGGCCTCAAATCTGACGGAGCGGCCTACAAATCGAGGTAAACGTGTTTTCATATTCTCGATACAGCTGCTACGTGATGTCCACTACTAAGTCTACTATCATGATGAGTCCCTGTCAAGCAATAGATGGTTTCCGTAGTTTGATTTAGTGACCAGGTGGTTTACTTGAAAACGGATTCGACGTTGCAATGGCAGCTCATTAGAAATCAAGGTAGAGGTGGTCAGTGGTGCAGGGATGAAGAAAAACATGAGAAACGGCCCAGAACCGAGAAATGGAACTCTTCTTTGCCCGTTGATTTCCGCATTGCTGCATCTTCCATCGGTGCTGCCCTATTCAACGGTAACCTTCTCTCCCTCTGCTAAACCGCTGGCGGGTCAATCGCCGCGGGAGGGCCTGCTAGATCGCCGGGAGCATTATCCTACGCTGCGAATTGTACATCGGTCCGCACCCTTATCAGGAAGGTCTTCTGGGTCATGCCCGCTTTGTGAAAGCAGTTTTCGCATAATGTAGAGACAGGTGCATGGAACATAGAATTATACTTCTCTTCTCCTGAGCGATCCTCGAACGCCAAAAAAATGACGAATGATTGATCCATGGTTCGATTCCCCGTGGTGACAAATTTTTACATTTTCGAATGGCGCTTGCATTATGTCGCAAATTGGTCGCGCAGCTAATAAAAGGTTGAACCATTTGCCGTTGATGAATCCTTTTTGGGATGCGGCACGCATGGGTGTCCCCCAACAGGCCCACCGCGCGGCGAAGCAAGAGACGCAGACGCGGCAAAGGGACGAGTCGCAGCGCATACTGTAGCGGTTAGGCGTCAGGTTAAAGAGAGTGTACCACACTACGTCTCATATCGCACAGCACGCGCGCTGCAACTCGTCTCTTTGGCGTCCAATCCTGCGCACTTGGCTTTTGCCGTTGATGGCCTTTTTGGGATGCGGCACGCATTCTACTTCCATTTGTACATTCGCAGTGGCGTTTGAATGCGATGTGGCCTATACAATGACTTGCGGGGGCCAGCCGATGTTCAAGTCAGTGTTTTTATCCTCCCAGACAAGTCTGGTACCAATTAACCGACCCCGGAGGGATGGAAGGCTTGGTTGGCCCGGGCGACTCACGACCCAGGATTTGATCCCCGGACCGCTCGCGTGGTGAGCGCGCCACTTGTCACTACACCACTTCCGCCCTTTTTTCCAATTAATGGCTATCATAGCCGATATATTAAGCTTTTTTAATAAAAACTGGTGTCACTTGTTCTCTACACTTGAGTTTTTTAGAATCCGTTTTATTATTACGTTTCAGAGGGCCGCTAAGGAAAAATAAAGCTCCGTTTTGTATTTTAGCCTGTGCCTACATCATGCAAAAAACCGTTTGTAAAAATCTGTGCACGACCTGAAAAACCTTCTTGGTTAGTGGGTTTGCCTTCTTTCCACTAAATAATGTTTTTTTTCCCTCTTCCGAGTCATTCATACCTTGCTCGTGGAACATTCTCATTAAATATTCACTTTTATAATAGTTTTTTTACTATCGCTAAAGTGTCACTTGGGCCAAATGTTAAAGTGGGTCACAGTTTAGATTATTCTATACCTGCCGTGTCGAATACGATCAAGAGAGTCTTATTAGGTCGCACTACTTTGCTAAATATTTCCATGATTGCAATCTGAGTCGCTCAACACACCATGGAGATAGTCTCTTCTTTCGGGTATTGGGTCGTTTCTCATCTTTTTTCTTACCGGCTCCGCACAGTGTATCACCCGCTTAAACTTGGTTTGTATTGACGTTGGCCCTTTCCTATCGTAACAAAATTCGTAAAGTCCGCCTTCAATTTTAGGCCGATGTCATAGTTTGCGAATCGAGCGATTCGCTAGCGAATCGCTGGATCCGAGCGTTGCGCCAGCGAATCGAACGTTGCACCAGCGACTCAACACTGTTTGAAAGTGGCACCCAACGTTTAAAGGAAGGCCACTTTCAAGTGCCAGTGTGGTCCTTCAAAGTGGACTTCCTTTGAACGTTGGGTCCCGCCACTTTCAAACAGTGTCGAGTCGCTGGTACATAGTTCGACTCGCTGGTACATCGTTCGACTCGCTGGTGCAAAGTTCGATTCGCTGGTGCAACGTTCGATTCGCTGGCGCAACGCTCGGATCCAGCGATTCGCTAGCGAATCGCTCGATTCGCAAACTATGACATCGGCCTTACGCCGATAGCAGCCCATATGGGCTGCCAGGGATGCAGTCTCGTGAGACTATGGCATCCCATATGGCCTGCCCGCTAATATTTACTTGCCGACAGCTTATAGCGTAATTTTTTTGCGGTTTTTTTTAAATCTGATATTAGTGACTGATGGCGAGGAATAAATATAAATTAATATATGACTCTAAACGAGTTGGAAAGAGTACTAGATGTAACTATAAAACTCTACAGATGGTAAGACACGTGTGTTCACTAAAACATTTGAGGAAAAAATGCTTTTGATGCCCATTGAGCGAAGTTTGATAAGTTTCGACTTTTCTTTATCATAACACTCCTTTTCATCAAAATTCTGTCAGGATAGCTTCAGAAAACCTCTACGCATTCATTTATCAAAATCGCTTGGTACTATTCATGTTTTGTTTATTCACTCTCAAAGATCCATTGGTGTGAGATAAGGCGGCGGGAAAAGAACACTGGACCTAGTCCGAGTCTACGAATGTCATGATCACTGGTGAAGGACCTAATTACTACTCTTACTACATGCTGCAGTTCCCTACCCTTTTCGCAAACCTTACTATTCTCTTTTTCAAGCAGTATGTATCACTCGAAAAGCATCCTTTTTCAGAGACGCTCGTCGAGTAGCACGGGTATATCAGCAGTTCTCAGTTGCAGAATGAGTTCACAGCGGCGACTACTTTTGTCGGTCGGATGATGTGAATGTCGCCATTAATTTCGCAAGCCAATTAGATCGCTACGAGTAACCTTCCAATGACTGCCATAAATCGCAGAAGAATGTGAGGTGACATAAGCACAGCTACCATTTCATGAATAAATAATGTATCTATGGGACCCGATGATTCTTCGTTATGCTCGGTGCAATCTCGTGTGTACTTCAAATTTGTTACTTTTTTACCAATAAAATTTATTTGTAATTGCCTCTAACAACATATACAGATGTACAAACCTATCTCGTTGAATTCACAATAAAGGAAACTACTGGAGGTAGCTGATACAAGGAGATCCTCGAATATATAGAAAGGCAACCGGGCAAAACCGCTTCACCTCACAAAGAGGAAGTGGGTCAGCGGCAGTTCAAGTGATAAGGCATTGAATGAAAGTAATGGTCAAAATGCAAATCGAAAACCGGTGAAAGCAAAAATAAATGTGAAATTCTGAATACATATTTTGAAAGCTTACATAAATTTCACAGAAGAAACATGCTAGGATCGACATCCAGATTCACATCAATCAGTTGATCTGTATCGATGTCCAAGGAGCTATCAATGGTCTGGGATTCAGATACCTGAAAAGGAGGTGTAGGAATATTGTATTTTTCATCCATACTCCAAGATATCACTGACTAAGCTGGCCATATATGTATCTATGTGCTTTTCCTAGTGTCGCCTTCCAAAGCAGATCGGAATTTGCTTCTTAATACTGATTAGAAAAGATATTAAGTTGAAAATTGTAATTAAGAGCCACAGTTGCTCTCTTTAATCATCTGCGACCCTTTTCAACAGGAAATCTGTGATAAGTTTACACATCGAGAATTAAAAGTAAATAATGTGTGAAAGATAACCACGTCTGCAGATTTTCATTTTCCATGAGGGATCCTGCTTATTTTTCTTCGTTAGTAACTAGCGACACTCTTCCTAGACTCACTACTTTTTTTTTCAAATCATGGAAACTCTAAAAAAAAAATATAGAACGGATAGGCAAACGGCTAGATGGCAGTATAGCAACGACCTTCTATCGGAAACTCTTAGCGTAGTCCAATACCCGCAAGTCCATGTTTGACCAGAAAAATTGCGCCTGTTGGCAAGAATGTGCGATCTCTCAACCTCGTGGGTTTTGGACGTCGTTTAAAGGACACAATCCACTGCGACGTTAATATGTTTGTGACAAACTCCGGTGAAACAGGCTCTGGCACACTGTGCTGTTTCAGTAAGTATGGAACTCTTAGTCAACGTTACGTGATAGGTTGAAGGTAAGAGTTGTCATACAACAGATTCCGATCCTTTCCACCAGTCAGTTTCGCTTAAGCTGGTTGAAAGCAATCAAAATGCAACAATTCAAAAATATAAATAAAAAATGCATACACATCATCTAAGACTAAAACGTTGCGCTCCCGCCTCCACAAGCAAACAGAAAAATAATAAAGCTAACAGAAACGATGGCTACCTTTCTTCCATTCACACGTGCGTCAATTTCTGTTCTGACCTCAGCCAATGCATGCTCAAATATCTTCTCCAATGTATCTGCACAGTGATAGACGTTGCTATCCTGTAAAAGCCACGAAAGTTGCAAAATCTGATGCAACATTCAATGAAAAATTATTACCCGCGGATAGAAGATCCTAGCGTTTTCAAACAATCGGGACATATCTCGCGTGAAGTCTTTCAAACGTTGGTATTCGAGATTTTCCAGTCGTTGTTGGATGATTGAAAGGTCTGCAATTTCATAGTACTACAAAATATAGTCAACACAGTCATCACTACAATGGATGACGCGGTAACCGATCACTTAAGTGCCCTTGTGGAAACTTTTTCTTTTGACGCTTGATGACGGCGCGACGCCGACGCCGCATGTGCAGCCGGCCGTCCCATGAGCTCCAAATCTCTCATTCATTTTTTTTTTGTGGCAAGTAACTTTCTTTAGCCATAGTTATTACGTATTTAATAGGTCATACATTATTAACTTTAGACGACATCTCATAGAATCGTACCCACTATCATGTACAAAAAAATAGCAAAAAATTAGAGGAAAACTCTACGGGGCCACCTACTATGCTTCAAATGTTACAATTACAGCGAAAATGCTTTCGAAGATCACTACACACCGAAAAAAGTCAAGTTCTCTTTTCGTTGCCACTACACGTGTTCTCGGGCCGGAATTCCACTAAAACAGCTCAGCCGCTGCGCTCGCAAGATCGCACCCGTCCCACGCGGTCAAAAAAAGCGAAATACGCGTTGTCCTAACGTGTTACTAGGACTTCTCGACATGACCTGATAGCTACTCAACACTAGCTGCTATTGTATGTAGGTGATTAAATTAAGAAAAGAAATTAAGGCGATCTCACCAATCGGTCTCCACCACGTCCCAAATGTAATTGGGAAACTCTTCAAGGTCAACTGGCTGACGGAACGGCCACGACATACGGTGATCAGCGACGCACTCGAGAAGACGCCACACAAGAGGATAGTCAGCTCGACTAGAAATTATTGGATTGGAAAAAATAACAAGAGAAAATTCAAATTTGAAGCTGTAAAAATTAGTAAGATGAAGCTCACCAAAGAGTGGCATGAGTACTACTCGCCGAGCTGGTGGCTGATTCATAGCCTTGGGTCGTCTGTGCTTCAGTGCACGAAGGACATACATACTCGTCCATAGCTTCAGCTTCTCTGGAATTTAACGGGCTTACCACTGCGAAAAACTTGAAAGAGTGAAACTTTGTCTCTGACAGGCCTTACTGATGGGCTAGTGTGGATAAAACAATTTCTTAAAAAACTCCTTGCCGCCGTAATACTTATACTTAAAAAAAAAATGAAGCGGACAAAGAACAGGGGATGCGCAGTTGTTGTGCTAAACCATAAACCCCCTCCCCTACTCACCCCATCCAAGCCAAGGAGAAGGAGGACATCTCCTCTTTAATTGTTGTGCCGAAGAACTGCCCCCAAATGCAGAAGCGTCCCAAAGTAGAAATGTGCTTGAAGTGAAAAAACTTCGTCCCAGAGAACAAAGTTCAAGGGGATTCCATTCTATAAGCCCGGGTAAGAAAGAGTAGCCCGACTGGCACTGCAGGCAATTGTAAAGAAACTATTTGGAACACACTGTAATCATTTGGCAGTGCGTTAAAAATTTTCTGATACTCAGTGAAAGTAACCTACTCTTGTGTGATTCCTACGCACTTCGGATGGAACCAACCCTCACAGCTTTCGCAGCCAACGTAGAACCTGCAAAACCACTCCATAGAAGAATAATTGGTGGCGCTAGTGAAGTAGGATTGGATATATCACTAATAACATTTTCGCTTTTGACTATGAATTGATGAATTAGACAAATTTAGACAAGTTCACCAATTCACTGCGACGGGCCTAAACTCCATCGACGGTCTCTGGGGCCGTATATAGCAAGCCCTGGCCGAGGATGAGGGGATACCCCCGACACAACCTTCGGGACTTGTAGCATACGATCGTCGGAGGCATTCCCCCAAGACCCGTAGAACTGGGGATATACCCTCATCCTGGCCGGCCTGCTGCATACGGCCCCTGATGTGCAGTGGTATCGGCCCGTCACTCATTTCGCCTTCATAAAAACAAACCTCTTTAAACCCCACAAACCTCTTTAAACCTTGAAAGCAAACTTACTCGTTATCATTGTAAGGGGTACGACACGTGCAGTAGAGCTCCTGCTCCTGACGTGCTCTTTTTGTTTCCTGGATGCAATCTCGACACGTCCATCCATCCATCTCTTTCGCATTCTCCTCACTAACACCCACACAATCACCATGAAACCAGCGGAAACACATTTCACAAGCGACGTAGAATCTGCAACAAATTGAGGCTAGATTAAAAAGAAATTAGAACGTACGAAAGAGAAAATGAAATTCCTCTCGCTGACCTCCTTGGATTGTAGGTGGTGCGACAAATACAGTGCAACGCATTTGGATTAGCACCGAGCGGAGCCGGTTTGTCATCTGTTGATTGCTTTAAAACAAGTTGTTTTAGGATTGTAACTCCAGCGCGAAGCCAGAAAGTTTGCTTGATTATTACTAACCTCTTCAATATCTTGATGATGCCGCTTTGGTGGCCGCCCGCGTCTTCTCACTTCAGAACCAGAAGATGAGCTCTCCTCCAGAGATCGTTCATACATCTGAAAAAAGGGCCGGCTAAATTGAGTTCCTGACACTTCCAAGTAAATAAAAAGTGAATAAATAGGAAAAAAGAAATAATCCCAGAGCAGCTGCCAGAAGTCACAAAATTTTGAAAAAAAAAACTGAATTATGCAACGAACCTTTTTCTTATATTTTGGCGTGGGAGGCAGCGCCGGACCACGTCTGGAAGGCTGCCAATCAGCAACAGCATTCGACTCTTCAACTATGCCTTGTTCGCTTTCCAACTTAGACTCCACCTTGATCCTCATCCTTGTTATCGCCTTCCTGAAACGATATTGTTGTCCTTATTTCGTTAGTACCTATCCAGCGGACGCTATCGTTCCTAAGATTAGAACTCATTCGGAAATCCAGATGAGCGGAAGAGGAATGTCAGACAGAAGTATTAATCAGGAAGTAAGGTCACCTTATCACCACCAGAAGCTCATTCGTTCTACTACCGCAATAATTACCCATTGTAACGAGGAAAAAATAGGAAAAATAAGACCAGCCATGAACACCTCTGCCGGTAAGACAGTGGCGGAACAAAACAGCACCTATTTGAAAACTGTTCGTCTTACTGTGACCAGGAAAGGATGAGGGTGGGTCGCGATGCGGCCACCTGCAATGACGGCCACAAGGCTGTAGGATTAGACGGCTAGATCTCGAATTCTGCACTTCAAAATCTGCAAACTCGATAGCAACTGATGGAGGTTTCAACGACAAAACAGAGCACCGGGCGCACGAGGAGTAGGTCCCGTAACGGCTCCCCTTTTGCCTTCGCTTCAACATGCTTAAAAAGGCTCCCAACCACGTTACTTGATCAGCTTGCCTATACTTACCTGTACAATGAGTTCGCGTGGGAGTTCCTAAGACAAGTCTGGGCGCTACTTGTTAGGCAGATGGATGCAGCCGCGGACTGCTTACAAAAGACCCAGCTGTTTGCCAGCGGAAAGGTGTCGAGAATCGTTTCCGGAGATAACAGATATCCGAGGATGATTTGTGCTAATACACCATCGACCGGTTGAGGACTCTCACTTGGCAGCCCAAACCACTACGCCTGCACTAATGTCTGGTTATAACTCGCTTCAGAATCGATGAGATTGGGAAGGCAGTTCGAGTCAGCGTCTGAAGAGGTTCATTCGCGGCGTGAGTCGTGCGAGGTCTCACTTCATATGGCCACTTCGTCAAATCATGGTGGGTATAGCGCAATCCCAAAGTCTACACAATGTAATGGTAAATCCTAGGCTAGTTGCTGAAAGTGGAACAGAATAAAGTCAAATAAGTATACTTTTCGCACCTCCTTTAGCACTGTAGAGCTCTCTGAGTCTTTTGTCCAGTCTACAGAATCTCCTCCCAAACTGATCTCAGCTGGATTGATCACCACCGGTACAGGTCGGCTTGCATCGGCATTTTTCACATTACTCGATCCACGTGAGGCTGGAACAATCAAAATCATTTTCGACCTATGGAAACATTTGAAAGAAAACCATCAATGTTCACGTAGATTTCTCGTCATAGATTTTGCTTTCCCATGCACGTACCATTCAACATTCTTTCTGAACTGCAGCGTTTTTATCCGACTCAAGAAGATAACCGAACTCGTCCCAATCTTCGTCGACAGTTGGAAATTTCGGAAAGAGCTCTTCGCTGATCACATCGGTGAGGGTAGACGAAGTGGATGCGGAGCGATGAAACGAGACACTGTTCGACGATGTGGAGCGATGAAAGGTGCTATTCGACGAAGTACGAGGTAAAGGACGAATTTCGACATTCATCGCCGACAGCTTGTGAACAGAACAGGAAAAACTGCTGATTCGTTCGACCACCGCGCAGTTTTGGGCGATCGCGCTAGGCCGATGACCCTCCGGATCGCCATACTCTCTCCCAACACGTCTTCGCACCTCGCAATTAGTAACGCTGTGTCCCCATTCTAGCAAGCAGACAGTCTCCTTCGTTTACAAACTATCTCGCCACCGACGAGTGACCACTGAGTGACCGCCGTTGCTTGTTTTCGTCACATGATGGAATCCGCTCCATTGTAGGTCTTCGTGACATTCAAAAGTACTGGCCGCGCAAAAAAAAACGAAGAAAAGTTATGGATTCAAGACTTGAACTGAGCGACTAATATATGAAATTTAGGGTCCAGTTCCAGTTAGGGGCATCATGATGCAGTTTTTCCAGGAAGCTACGGTAACTTCGAGGGGGAGTGTAGGCAGTCTTGGAGGTGGGGGGGGGGGTGAGCAGTCACTTGACATGCGTGAAAAGCTGGAATGTTCGAGTTC